GGTCTGCGCTGCCTGGGTGCCGGTGGAAAGCTGTCGGGCCCGATAGGGCCTGTCTTGGAGCTCCTAGGATGCTACTCTGTGTGTGTGTGTGTGTGCAAGCACACATGTGTGTTGAGAGAGAGAGAGAGAGAGAGAGAGAGAGAGAGAGAGAGAGAGAGAGAGAGAGGCTCATAGTAGGTTCCACTGGTGATCGTGATAGCAGGAGACGGTCCTTCTCACTTGAAACGGCTGCCTTTATCATATCTGGTCAGTGAAGAACTTGGTACAGCTGGCTTTGCAAGCCAAGCACCAGAGCATTATCAACGTTGAGATGTTGTGCGAGGAGAGAGAAGTGAAACCAGATGCAGTTGATAGGATGGTAACTTGTTGAGGTGGCAATTGGTCTGGAAAAGAGCCCGGTGGAGAAGTTCCATGGTATTGTATCTATCGACTATAAAATTTTCAAATTTCTCTTTCCACTACTACTTTCTCGGGTCACTTTTATTTTATGGCATGACAATGATGATGTGAGCTTCAAGCAGGTTCAGCACAGATTTATTTATTGCTTACTTGTTGAATGGATCACAAAAATGTCAGAGTGTGTCACCTGCCAGCGCCACATAGCATAAGCAAGCCACCTGGCCAAGCCGGACAAACAGTCAAGACACATAGCAAAGCGACATAGCCAGCCAAGGGGTGACATACTCAAGCCACACAGCCAACCCATATGGGCAGTGAATCGACATACCCAGGCCGCATAGCCAAGGCGCGTAGCTGAGCCACATTGCCAGCCAAACCAGCCAATCCACGTAATCAGCCAATTGACATAATGAGCGAAGCAACGTAGCCAATTAACCCAATGAACACAACAACTGAGGGCAAACTCCCTGGTGATGAATTGTTCTCCTTCAATGCTTCCTCAAAATTGTGGATAACCAAACTTCGTTCTGTTCAATCTCTCTTTGAAAACCAACATCTCTGTTGCCTCTACCGTACCGGTTCCTCGTGCATGGAAACTCTTATTCTTGAGGGCAAAACTGCGCGGGCTTTTATTTTGTGATGCAGTTGGAGTTGACATCGTACAGCAAGGAAGAGGATGACTACCCTGGCTACGACTACCAGCTTAATGGTGCACTCTCAGCTGTCCGGATTGTTTTTCTTTACCGCTTCATTCAGGAGGTGAGAACGGTATCATCCTTTATTGGAGCAGACTGGGTGTGCATTATTCTCCTCTACCACTCTCGGCATTCTTGCTGTTGTTCTGTTAGAAATGAGAACTAGTGCAAGGAATATACATCACCAACCAACCCACAAATTAATACCACAAGAAAATCCTGCAGCAGAAATGAAAACAGCTGTGTAGTGCAGTGTGCCTATTGTCACAATAGGTGATGCCCACAACTTAATCAAAGCCTGAAAAGGAGGAGAACAAGGAAAACCAGGATCAGAGAGGCAAAGATAGAATCAGAAAGAAATTTGAAGAAAGAACACAAAAAAAAAACAGGATCAGAGAGGAAAAAATAGAATCAGAAAGAAATTTGAAGAAAGAACACAAAAAGCCTGGTTTGTTCATTTTTTGGAAGGACTGGGTGGCAAGGCTGTTTTTCCGTGTGCCTATGCCCAGGCACGAGTGTTTAAACTTTAAGCCTCTTTAGGGAATGCCAATGCCCGGGTACCAAAAACAAACAAATATAACAGCATTGGCATTCCTGACATTCAGCTCAAACTACAGACTCGCGTCACTGCCAGAGAGAAGGAAGAAGATAAGAGACAGAAGACTCCTCCAGCAAAAAGGCACCGACCCCCCGTGCTACGGGTCCGAAAAAACTGGGAAAGCCGTCCACGCCGGCCCACAAAGCATACATTTCCCCGAAAGAGAACTCGTGGCGACCCATAAACATCCAAACAGCCCATGCTTTGAAGCAGGGAAAGAATTAGGCTGTGTATAATCAACAAAATCCACAAGACATATCCAGCCACAAAAAGAGCGAATAGCTCGCTAGTACTAGCCCAATCCTAGCCGCTCAAATCTGCCAAGACAGAAAACTAGCAAGACCGTGTGTGTGTATGTGTGTGTGTGTGTGTGTGTGTGTGCGTGTGAGTGAGTGAGAGAGAGAGAGAGAGAGAGATGTGTGTGTGTGTGTATGTGTAATCAACAAAAACCACCAGTCCAACCACAAAAAGAGAGAACAGCTCGCTAGTACGAGCCCAATCCCAGCCGCTCAAATCTGCCAAGACAGAAAGCTAGCAAGACCGTGTGTGTGTGTGTGTGTGTGTGTGTGTGTGTGTGTGTGTGTGTGTGTGTGTGTGTGAGAGAGAGAGAGAGAGAGGTTTATGTGTACAGGGCAGACATGCAAATGATGTGAACGATCAAGAGTGTTTCTTAAGGACTGAGGCGAGGGGTGGCAACAGAAAGTCCCAAGGGGGTCAGAGGGAAGGGAAGAAACCCACATGAGATATGTGTGTGTGCGTGTGTGTGTCTGTCAGCGCTCATAGTTTCGCAGAAGCATGACATAACATATCGACAACTCCCGTTTACTCCAAAGATAAGAGATGGTATTGATTCTGAATGTGCGGGCGTAGCCGCACTGGCCATACTTGTGGATGTTTCGACTGTTCTGAGCTCGGGGCAAATGGGAAGGTCTACTTTCGTGAGAGAATTTATGTGGTAAGGACAGTATCCAAGGTTATTCTTGGCAAAGCACTTGGAACCGAAGTATTCTCGAATATTCAAATCTTGATACAGTGCAAGGAAAATGAGCGATAACGAACTTTCAGAAATCAAACAGCATCATACACATGACACCAGATAGTCGTGACCTCAAACCAATAGCAGAATTGCATCACGAGTTCCACCAAATAAGAGCACAGCACAAGCTCTTTATTGACAATGCTGGAATAGTCTCATCATCATCAACGAAGAACCAATGTCGATATCCTATCTGGCGCTTGGCGCCCAGACTAGCCTATCAAATGGCAGATCCTATCTAGCCTATCTACAATGCCGCTGATGACGTCAACAGCTCCCCGAAGTACGAGCAGATCTCGGCCAATGCCGTTAGCCTCAAGCACCAGGTATGTCTCTCGTATCACTCACAACCTCGATCCCCAAAGACCACCATGCACCCCATCCAGCATACAGCAGCGCAGCTCGGCTATGGCTGCCTGCTCCTTCCAGCTCGCCCGTGAGCGCGTGAGCGCTGGCCAGCGTTAGCGCAGCAGCGCTTGCGCAGCATGCAGCCAGTGCCTGAATGCCAATTGCAGACGCAGGCCCTTTCCTAAATGGAAGTGGCCTGCCTTCTGCTGCAGCCAGGCTGCGCTGGACCCTCGCCCGGAAGCTTCCGGTAGGCCCCGAATGGCTGAGCCCCAGTCCATACAGAACAGGCCCAGGTCCTGAGTTAGTTGCGCGTACACAACTGCCCACAGCCTGTGTTCGGGTGCATACGCGTCTGGCCCAGGGCGTACTTCAGATACATTTGCAAAATGGATGCCCGGGCCTGGGCGCTTGCAACCAACTGACGCCGCGCAACTGTCTGATTTTCCCCAGTTGCAAGATGGCCTGAAAAGGGGCTCCTAGGTTCTAGTCGAGCCTGCCTTCACTTAGGGCGGCCGACAACACTGCAAACAGGGTCAAAGGGGCCTCATCGGGCCTTAGGCCTTGCAACAGTAATTCTCCATAATAATAAATTGAGTCATGGGTTAAGCTGATAGACCATGGATTGGATCGAGGATCGAATGGTTAGTTGGATGCTGCGGTAATTGCTAAGCAAGCTTGAAGTAGGCCGGAAAAAACGGATGAGAGTCGAAGAGGCGGTATTCAGCATGGAGTTACTTGTGGAAGGGATGGAGCGAGTATAACAGAGGGAGCATCTGCAGGGAAGGAGGAATTCTTCTGCCTGAGGACTGCTAAGGCGGAAAAGTATGCAAGGACCAGGGTAAGCACAAAATAATTGTGATGGACATCTAACTTTGACTTTTCCTTCGCATTGCTGTGGGCCGGGTCGTGAAACATAAATTACTGCAGGACGACCGCACATATTGATTATTTATTATCGATTGAGTCAGACCACACCATCTTGGCTTCTAACTTGTGCAATCCATATTTTCGGTGTATTTTGGCTGATTGCTGGTGATGTCCACAGGTGATGCCGCACCTTAATCAAAGCCAGACTTGGCAAGGGGCTTAAACCACCAGTACATGCCATACATTGGCCGCGGGCCCCTTTTGGAGGCCGCCTGCCAGCGATTTATTTTATCGATGGCGCAGGAGCCACCAAAATATCAGGAGAGGCTCAATCGGGTTCTCAACTTGGCTGGGCCCATGTACTGGTGCTTTTTTGTTGTCCCACAAAGGCGCGTTCATCGTACAACTCCCCTCATGGAAACACACAGGAAGTTTTCCTCAGGAAAGACAAAATCCTGGTCTGTTTTTTTGTTTTCGTTTTTGAGGGAAAACGATCTTATGGTCCCGGCCCCTTTCTTTTCTGGGAAGAATTGGTTTAGGTTGTCTCGTTTTCATTCTTTTCACCATGTTGTTTGCAATGAGCTAGTCATGCCTTATTTGAGAGTGCCAGCAAATCAGCACAGGTATGTTGAGTTGGCAAAGCAATGACAAACAAAAGCGGGACGGAAAAGTCTCAAGCTTCCAGATAATTTGGAACATTCATGGAATCCATGCTTAGTCTGTCCAGGACTACAGTGATGTCGCTTATATGCAATCGGTTGCTTTGTTTCAGTTGATGGCATATTTCCTAGGCCTGGTCACTGCCCCACAAGTGCAAAATACAGTGAAGGTGGTTGACAAGGTGCGGGGGATTGAAAGGCTTATTGAGCAGTCGGAGATGGAGGGCGGCCTAGCTCTGAAGCTTGATGTTTCTATGGAAAATCCTGTCATCATAGTACCAAGTTCGTCAAACAGCTCTGAGTAAGTGGTGTAGGACTCTACTTCTCTTTCTCCTTCTCTTCTTTTCTGGATGTTCCTGCTGGGCGGGTCAAAGCCTCTTGGGAAAGGTGGGGAAGAGCTGAGGAATCTGAAACGACGAGAGACAAAGCAGGGAGAGGAAGAGAGGTATATGTATGATAATAATAGCAGGGATGCAATTGACTGCTCGATTCAGTGAGGCCCTGGTTATGCTGCTCTGCCTGGATTCCTGCCTGTGAGTCAGGAGGAAAAAGAAGGCATGTGAGCTCCTCTGGCTTTCTATAGGGAACCCCTTCCCAAGCTCTAGCTGGCAGAGTCTTAATAGTTCCTATATCCGAGCCTGATGCCTGCTTAACACACACCTGGATTGTTTTAAACTCACAGCTTGAACGTAATTTAGTCGAAACAAAAATATAATAAATATTACATTACATTGCATAGTTGCATAGCATAGTTTAATGGGAAGTAGAAAATAATTTCCCTCCACTCAAACAGAAAGGGCGCATAGGACTTGAATCTTGAACTCCCGACCCTGTTATGTCGGGTGTGGAACTCGAACTCACAAAGGCGAATATGACGAACCTCGAACTGACAGCCTGTGAATGGAGAGCTCTATTGTGGGCGTATGCTATCAGAGTGCAACTCAGTGTCAAATCAACAAGCTGGAGATCTGCCAGTATGCGTGTAGTCAAACAACAAGCACGAAGATATGAAATGATGACTAAAGCATGCTGGAAGTCTTCAGCTGTACTGACCACAACTGCATGTAGGATTCTAGGCCTTATGTTTGCCGGAGCTCTCATTTCCATCGCAGGTGCTGGTATGGGGGCGCATACAGATTTAAAGCTCAAGTTTACTGCGGGTCTTTCATGATCTAGCAGCCTATTTCTTAAAGAATCACTTCAGTAATACGAGCCATTCCAGTGTATACAGGTAGCCTCATCAAGACCTGCAGCCAAATTGAGGAAAAGCAGCTACTTCGTGATGTTCTGGCAACTACATTTGACTTTCAGCTCCTCCAAAATGGGTGGTTATACAGCATAAAGTTTACTGTGGGGATTGATATTGGCAGGAATCCGAAAGTTGCACAATGGATGAAAAAGGTGATTGGAGGGGTCCATGTGGCAGCAGGGTGGCCAGGGACACCCCTTTCAGTTCCCCAAGAAAGTCCAGACTCCATAGTAACTTTATACCACATAAATGGCTGTCATTGGTGGCATCAATTGATGTGGGCGGAGGGTGGGATTCAAAAGGTCACACCATTAGGTGAGAAGGGTGCTGATGGGGATTAATGTCGGTGGGGGGCCCATGTGGCGTTAGGGTGGCTGGGGGCACCACTTAAGACCTGCTGGTTGACCCCTTTGCTGTCCCAGATGATGCATTATGAGGATTTGCGCGTTTTAGGATTTTGCATTTCTGAACAACGAATATGCATCGAGTATGAAGTACTATTCAAGCTTATTGTTTGTCTTCCCTGACTTCTGAAAGCCTTGGTGTTTATTTGGCACAATCTGGCAGCTTCATGCAGCTCAAGCCGGGGCACATGAAATTGTCAAACCATTTCGAATGGCGTGGTGGAGATCAAATCGCTCCTGAAGCCGTTCACTTGGACATCATGAAAATTCAGGTGAGATAATGTGGATTGAACTGCATCTGTTCAACTGAGGAATGCAGTAATGGGGTGCGTAGTTACTCTTCCCGATTGTGTGCATAGAAGCCAAATTTGTCCAAATGTATTCTTACATGGCGATTATTGGAACCAATTAGAATGCTGTTTATGTAACGAGCGTGAGGCTGAGGGTGAGAGGAGGGAGAGGAGGGAGAGGAGAGAGAGGGAGAGAGTGAGAGCACACACACACACTCACTCACTCGACTCGATGGACTCGGACTGAGGGTCGGACGCAGACACAGTGGTAAGGCACAAAGTCGAAGTCTTGGATTCCGAATGCCGAAACAGCAAGTCACACTGAGTACGAGTACAGCAGCAGAGAACTGGTACCCGGCTGCCCCCCGTACCGTACTGGGAGCCGGTATAAGTACCGGTGACACGTACGGTACCAGGGGCATTTCTGCAAAGGCCCCGAGGGCAGAACTGAAAAATGCAGTATTTGAAAGTGGCGCCCGAATTGCAGCACGGCGCCAGTTGTCCAAAATCCTCCGGTACCAAAGGAGGGGTTTGGAAAAAGGGTGCCAGGCCGAGAACGGGATGCAGCCAAAACAGCAAAAGATAGACCAGGGATAGAGCCCTGGCGAAGTCCGTAACAGTTTATGTGGTCCGAAAACCATAGCAAGCATTCAGGTACAATAGCATGGATCTGGCTCTTCGTGCGATGGATGGTGGCCTCCATAACTCCTTGGTATCTACTGTAGTACTGTCTAATTGCGAGCTGGATGCCTCCATTGACATAGTCACATGTTTCGACTACATTTACTATAGAACTGTTTAATTGTAAGCTGGATGTCTCCAAGGGCATACCTGCACTCCATTGGCATACTCACACTTTTCAACTACATTTAGCTCATTATTTACTCGACTGAATTGGCTGTAGTTACCCGAAGATACGTCTAAGAAAGTCGTTTGTGGGATTGAGTAAGTGCCAATCATACGTCCAGTACCACAATGCGCTGTGTTCAGTACCTTGTATGCCTCCATTGGCATACTCCCACTTTTCGACTACATTTACTAGAGCTGTTTAATTGTGAGCTGGATGTCTCCAAGGGCATACCTGCACTCCTTTTAGGTCATTATTTATTCGACCGAGTTGCCTGTAGTTACCAGAAGATCCATCCAAGAAAGCCGTTTGTGGTATTGAGTATGTGACAATTATACGTCCAGTACCACAATGCACTGTGTTCAGTACCTTGTATGCCTCTATCGGCATACTCACAGAGTCACACTTTTCGACTACATTTACTATAGAACTGTTTAATCGTAAGCTGGATGTCTCCAAGGGCATACCTGCAATTCTTTTAGCGCATTATTTATTCGACTGAATTGGCTGTAGTTACCAGAAGATACATCCGAGAAAGCCGTTTGTGGGATAGAGTATGTGACAATTATACATCCAGTACCACAATGTGCTGTGATCAGTGCCTTGAATGCCTCCACTGGGGTACTCACACTTCCAACTACATTTACTGTAGAACTGTTAAATTGTAAACTGGATGTCTCCAAGGGCATACCTGTATTTCCTTTAGCTCATTATTTACTCGACTGAATTGGCTATAGTTACCAGAAGATACATCCAAGAAAGCCGTTTGTGGGATAGAGTATGTGACAGTTATACGTCCAGAAAGCTGGATGTCTCCATGCGCTGTGTTCAGTACCTAGCCCTTGAGGCCAACATGCCTCTGCCCTGTAGACCTTTGCCGCAAGCTGGCAATTTTCGTTGTGTTCCTTGCTGTCTTTTGGCAGAAGAAAACTTCATGATGGAAAAGGGGCTTGTGAACATATTTTGTGCCACATTCAGTTTCCATTAAAAATTAGAGGCAATAGAACCGTGCTAATGCGGCGGTCCAACTCAAATTAAACTCCAATGGTACTCACGCATGTCACTGACCCTCGCACAAAACCACTCAACAGCAGAGAAACGAGATGGCTATCAGCTGAGAGCCTCAAATTATTATTTCCCAAACATGAATTGTTAGAGTTCCAACTACATGGTACATGCGTCTATGGCCGCCAGTTCATCATCCTCCATCAGGCATGTACACTCTCTCTCTCTCTCTCTCTCTCTCTCTCTCTCTCTCTCTCTCTCTCTCTCTCTCTCTCTCTCTCTCTCTC